AGATAATTCATCCAAATAGTAACACGGTCATCTTCTCTCATCCCCCGTGACATTGGTTACCTTCGCGTTACCTCAATATCTCGAAACATTTTAAAGATCATGCCTATATTCCGAAAGAAAACTTTTATTTAATAAATATTTTACCTCATTTAATAAGTCTTCATTTAAATTTATAAAATGATTCGAAACTTTTTTAATTCTGCATCCTTCTGTTCCGTTATTGATTTTTGACATCTCGTTCTTCAATTGTAAGAATTGTTATATTAATATCAATGAGGAGTGGATGATTTATGTGAATAAGTTCTAAAAGAAAATAAAAAGACATTAAGTAAAATAAATAATCATCATGAGTAATGATGTGATACTGCTTTCAAATCTAGAAAAAAATTCTACTTCTCTGGAATAACTTATTTTAGTTTTACAAAATGAAGGATAATAAGCAAAGAATCTTGGGTAAGAATTTATTCAAAAATTTTGAAAATATAACATTCATTTTAATTCGCTCATTTTTATCTTTTATAACTTATTATTAATTTTTGAATATTTATTTAAAATGATTAGATATCTAATAGTAAGAATTATAGGTGATAGTCGATAAGATATCAAGGTATGATCAGTGACATCACAAATATTAATAGCAATAGTAGTAACATAACAAGTTCTAATGATTTTATTATATAAATTATACAACACAATGTTATGGGATGATCAGAGATCCTAATTAATAATAATATTATGGTAATGAAATTTTCGAAATTTTGATAAAATTATTTGACAAACTAATTTATACTTAATTTATTATTTTAAATATTACTAACCTTTTAATTATAGGTTCATATAAGATTTTAATGATTTTATTATTTTTTTTTTAATTTATGACCTTGCCATTTGTTCATTCGACGATTTATTCGTATTTTATAAACTGTGATGCATAAAGATTGAAAATCAAGCATTTATTAATTTTTGACGTTTATTCTTGTTCACTTAATAAAATTAAAAAATGACTACAAAATTTTATGACCGTTTATCAGACGACCTTACTCTACTTGAAAATCCTATTGATTATAATGTCACAATTGAAGTTGGTGAAGCACCAGTTAACCAAATTTTTGAAGTTCATTCTTACATTTTGCAATCTCGTTGTCCTTATTTTAAAAAGAAACTTAACGAAACTTCGTTCAACGTAAATAATGTCAAAGTATTAAAAATGCCTGATATTTCCGTTAAAGTATTTAATGTCATTACCAAGTAAGCATTATTCTAAAAATTTATCAAAATATTAATAAAATATATATTAATATAATTTATAAATTAGGTACATTTATGGTGGAACAATTTCGCTAGAAAAATTAGAAAATTCAATTATTTTTGACCTCTTGACTACTTCCCATGAACTTGATCTTGATGAATTAGCTAAGCATCTCCAAACTCACCTTGTTACTACCAATAATGCTTCATGGTTGAAGCTAAACTTTGCTCAAGTTTATCAAACAAGTCAAGTGAAAATTTTGATATAATTCAAAATTTTTGTAATAATATAATTGCTAAGCATCCTAATACTATTTTTGAGTCAGAAAATTATATTTCTCTTCCCGAAGATACATTAATTTCTTTATTAAACTAGATGAATTACAATTAGATGAAGATAAAATTGGGATCATGGGGAAGGTCTAAGAATTCAACTTTACCAGATGACCTTAATGAATGGACAAGTGAGAATTTCATAACTTTAAAAACAACTTTGAAAAATTGTCTTCCCCATATTAGATATTTTCAATATTTCAAGTGAACGAGTATTAGAAAAGCTTTATCCTTATCAGCAACTCTTTGAACCTAAACTATGGTTAGGCATAAATACTAAATTTCTAGATCCTAACAAACCGATCTCTTCAACAACGTGCCGCCTCGAAACCCTCAAAAAATCTTAAGAGCAACACATCCCACTAAAACTACATCGCCGCCGCAAAATTTATCTGATCAAATCCTATCAGATAAACAACCGTTACAGCCACAACTGCCATTGCAAAAACTCCAAAAACAGCAATTATCAGAACAATCACAAACATCACAAATTATAACCAATCAGATTTCGCAACAACTATCTTATCAACCTCAAATACAATATCAACAACAACTACAACAACCACCGTTACCACATCAACAACAACAAATGTCGTTACAAAATCAACAACCACTGTTAAATCAGCAACAACGAACGTTGCAACAACAACAATCACTTCAGCATCAACAATTGTTACAACAACGATTGCTGCAACAACAACAACAACCACAATTATTACTTCATCAACCATTGTCACCACAAAATCCACAACAACAATTAAATTTGCAACAGCAATCATTACAACAACAACAACAAATATTACAGCAGCAACAATTGTTACGGAAATTTCAACCTCACCTACGATTACAATCGCAAACACCACAAAGACAACTTTCACTATCCAAAGTTAGACTCACCAAAATTTTTAATGATTTGGAAGATGGTAAAAATGTTAAATCTAATTTTATTACGTTATTTCAAAAAAAAAAATTTCGCGAAAATTATTAATTCAATTTTATTTTTATTTCTTTATTTATTTTAAGATCTTGATGAAGAATCAGAAAACTACAAACCAATTCCTCCTATTCCGATCGCTCAAACTCAATCAAAAGAACTTCCACAAGCTCTACAAGAAATTCGGAATAACCAAGAAGCTTGGAATAATCAAGAAATTCGAAATAATCAAGAATATGAGAATAATCAAGAAAATCAATATATTCAAGTTCCCGTTGAAACGAAAGTTAATTATTTTATTGGTGACAATAGTGATTCAACAAATAAAGCAAATTCTGGATTCTCTGTTAACAATGTTAACGTTAATAACGATAACGTTAATAATGTTAATAATGTTAATAATGCTAATGTTAATAACGATAATGTTATTTATGTTTATAATGCTAATGTAAGAAATCTAATGATTCATCTTGGTCATATTCTACTCAAAATTTATATCAAAATCCCCCTTCGAATCCTCAGGTAAATTTACAACAAAATAATTTACCGCCGCCGCTGTCACAAGACCTTTCATCAATTGAATTTAAAGAATTTTCTCTAATATTAGTAAGTTCTATTCCTTCCAATCTTCATTTTCGATCAAACTATGAATATAATTCTTCTTCTCAACCCACCACGAGATCATCACAATCCCAAAGAAAATTGAACAAATCCTTGCTTTTTTAATTTCTCAAAATTATATTAATTCTTCGAATCAAAAAATGGTTATCTGGTTAATGATTTTACAATTCCTCTTATTATAAATGATGTGGAGTTGAATTATGATACACAATCAATTTCTTCCAATTCCATTAATAATTCATCCACCACTTCACTATTTACTTTACAAGACCAGCAATCCACTATTAATATCTCTTCTGTATCATTGGTTTCTAAAAATATTAATAATGGTGATTCGTTTTCAGATGAAAATAAATCAATGAATGATGAAACTTCAGATATTGTGATTACAGCGATAATTTAAATAATCTAAATCATTTGAATCATTTAATTCATCAACAACAACAACAACAACAGCAGCAGCATTATCAACAACAACATCATACTGGTATGATATCTTCGGAAATAAAGAATAAATTTGATTCATTTATTAAAAAATTTCGAAAATAGAAGCATTACATTTTTATATTAAATCATTATTATTATTATATTGTATTATTTATATTTATCTCTATATCACTGTTTTTCAAGCATGAATAAAATCCTTCTACTACTAATATTCTATGTAATGTACGTTATGTATCATCCAGTAATTTATATCCAATTCTATTCAATAAGTTCTATAAAAAACAGTTTATCAATAAATCATGCTGAAAAGACGTCGGAAATTGATTTTGTCATTTTCTTTCCAGCTCATCCCACAGTTGAATATGTTAAATTTTAAAATCTTATAATTACTAAAAAAAGGATATAAAACCACGAAATAAAAATTTGAAAAAAAATAAAATGTTAATAAAAAAAAATAAAAGAAAAGAAAGTTACTAAGATTAGTATTGTTAGAATTTTGAAAAAAAATAGAAAAAGATATAAAAGAAGAGTAATAATAACTATAAAAAAAAAGATAGAAAGTTGATAAGCAATGACTATTAGATTAGAGAAAGATTATTTATTTTTTTTTGCTAAATATATTTTTTTCTAATATTAACTTTTCTTTTGGTTGAATTAGGATATTTAAAAATCTGTATGTTGTTTTAACTAGGATTTGTAATAAATAAAATAATTATGCAATTTTCTTATTATTATTTATTAATTATACATAAATACGAATATTTTTTTATAGATGTATCTTAATTGCCGATCCGTCTAATATAGCATTTATCGATCATTTATAATAAAATTCGGGATAAATTTATATATATTTTACTATAGCATGGAATCTGACGCGCGTGTAAATTGTCACAATATAATCATAGATGAAATTTTAGTATCTTCTAAGTAAGCTATTTTCAAAAAATAAAGGATACTTTCTTATGTGCTGAAAAAATCAATTCTTTAAAATTTTTAAAAATTGTATATTTTTACAATACTTTTGCGCACACCGATTCAAAACTATATTATAGTTTTATTAAGTAACTTAACCTTGATTTTCTATATGTAAATAGTGCCGTTCTTAGACGAACCAGCAATTAAACAAAATAGTTCAATCATATGAAAAAAATCGAATCGATTTCATTTGTAACTAAAAATAAAAATGTTGTCTTTTTCGCGAATCCATCGTTTAAACTTTGATCCGGAATATCCAATTGACTTCAATTTTGATAAATAAACTTCTTCAAATTGATATAGTGGTTTAAACGTTTTCTAAACTAGGGAATCAGGATCCGATATAAGCCAGAGCAATATGTAATACAACAAAATATTTAAATTTATAGTTCAAATTAACAAGTTGTTTTATTGTCATGTGAATCAGGATTTTCGAAAATTTATATTTATTTTATTTTATCATTATTGAGATCAGGATTTGTGTAACTCATTATGAGAAATTTTTATCACCGCTATACAGTTGGAAACAATAAATAATTAAAAAAAAAAAATTTCAAATGGAATTTTTCATTCTTGGAAATATTTACATATTTGTTCAAGTCTCATTTTTGTATAACATTGTTATTATTTACTATATAAAAATGATGATGTAATGTTGGATTTATAATATTTGATAATGTTGATAATGACTTAATAATATTATTATTATTCATTTTTTATTATTATATATTGATTATATTGCGAGTTGTGAATTTAACAAATTATTATTAAGATAAAATATATAAATTAGATAAATTGAAAATTAATAATATTCATCCTGGAAACCTTATGGTAACTGAAATATAATGATCCAAAATATAAATTCTTCACAATATTCTATATTTCAATTTATTGAAAAATTCTTTTTCTAATCCGGATGACTTTTCATTTATTATAACTTATTTGCACCATACCAAAGTTGTGTAGTATGTGATGTATAATTTTTAATTCATCACTGGATTCTATTTTTTTGTTTCTTGAAAACATGAGCAAGAAGATAATCTGGTTCATCTGATTTAACTATTGTTGTTTTTATAGTAATCTTCCCAAATATCAGTTTACAGTTTTTTTTTTTGCAGCCTTATATCGAATTTCTCCCAATCCTTATCATGATAGTATTGTAATTTTAGTCCAGGATCTAGAACTTTAATTAAATTGCAAAAATATTATTAATAAGTAAAATAATAAAATTAATAAACATAAATACATATATAAATTATATATGTCGTGCCTCAGACTAACGCTTGCGTCAGACCTCAGTGATTATCTGACGCAAAAAGTCGATCTGAGTCACAATATATACACATCTCCATCAGTGGTAGGATAATTTTTTCTCTACAGATCTTATTACTCTTTTAATTGTAAAATTTGAGTTATTCTCAATTTCATCTTCCAGTTTATCCAATAAATAATAAATAACTATAGACAGGTAGTTAAAAGACAAAGTAAAAAGTATAATATTTTGACCAGTAATACATTCAGAGGCTTTTTTGAAAGGCTATATAGAAATTAAATTTATGTTAATATCTAAATTATATATAAAAAAAAATATTTCTATAAATTAAATAAATTCCATACCATTAATAATTTTTTATGTATTTCTTTAATTGAATCCCATTCATCATCAGAAATAATGTGTCTTTTAAGATCTTTATCAGAAGAAGAAATTATGAAATGCTTTTATAATTTAAAAAAGAAAACTTCAATATTTATTTATATTATACATTAATAAATCTAAAAATATATACTTTTTGGAGTTTTGAAGCCCTCTCTATCAAGATCTAAGTAGAATTACATCTAGTTTTAATATCCGGTATCAATTCTAATTTTAGTAAATTTGTTACAGAGCATTATTTATGGAATTTTTCTCTTTGTTGTGATGATGCTCTAGTTTTAATTACTAGTTTTCTTAACTAAAATTTTAACAAAATATACAGATAATTATAAAATAATATTAATAAAATAAAAATATGATAATTATCTTAAAATTACCTTATATATATTATATTTTTTAAATTTTCACTATCTTCATCTGTTTCCTCTTCAAGAATGTTTTCATCAATATCTAGCCAGATACATTGAGGTCTTCAAGTGCCTTTTTTACTGCAAGGTTAATAATATGAGCCAGGCATCTGAATTGTTGATGTTGAAGATCAAAAGTTATATTATAATCATTTAGAGAATAAGAAATCCTAGATAGCATGACATCCATATTGGATGCATTGTCACATGTAATTACCAACTATAAATTAATAATAAAAATTAATATTTGTTTTTATAAAGCAAATTAAAAATAAAATAAAATAAATACCTTTGTTGCAATATTAAAATCTTGTTAAATATCCAAAAAATTTTCAACTAAAATTTCCCCTGAATGTGATCCAGATAAAAGAGAAAAATCCAAAGTAGAATTATATAGTTGCCAATTCTGATCAATCCAGTGTACAGCTACCCCAAGGGAAGTTAAAGTATTTTTGTTAGTCCAAGTATCAATAGTAAATGAAAGTTTAGATTTTCATATTTCTTATAATATTAATATTATATTAATAAATTATTAAAGTTTGTTATAATTTTGAAAAACTCAAGTAAGTAATTTTGTAAATAATTTAAGTCAAATCACAACATATAGTTTTAGCAGAAGGTATTAATACATCCTTATGTAATAATTTAATCATTTGTTTGACCTCGACTATAGTTGAAATCCTTGTTGAGTAAACTATAAAAAAAAGTATTTTAATAATTACATTTTTTAATACAAAAAAAAATGCAGTTTCTTTTGTTGTGCCAGTAAGATATTTATTCATAGGTCCGATTTCTGCACTTCCAAGAATTTTTGCATGGAATCGGAACATATGATGTAAAGTTGTAGATTTTTCAGCAATACTAACACTGTAATGGATAAAGAAATGTTAATTACAAAACAATAAATATAAAAATAAATTAATATAAATAAAAAATAAATAATATTTGCATGTAATGATTTTAGTGCCATTTTTTTATCAGACCCATAAGTAAAATATTGATAAATTTGAGAAATCCTTTTTTTTGAGGAAGATGTGGCTGTGTTTTTAACATCAAGAACTTAATTATCAGTGGCATGGTCTTCAGAATGGTCTTTAGTATTTGGCATTTTACGTGTATTTTTTTAAGTTCTATTGCAAGAGAAAAAAATTATGTATTCTTTTAGAAACTCTTCTGATGGTTCTTGTAGAGGTAATTCTTACCTTTGTTATGCTAGTACCCTTTTAAGAACTGCAAGAGGAGTAACAACAACGATCGCAAGAGGAACGGCAATGGACAACGGCAACAGCAGTAATAAAAGCAACAAGAGAAATTAGATTCTTTAATCTAAGGTTACACCAATTATAGATAATGTTTTTAGATGATTTATCTTTTTAGGCGATTGAATATTAAATCGTCTATAAATCGTCAAAAAAATAATATTTTTTAGACGATTTAATAATAAAATTTATTAATTCGTCCATAAATCGTCTAAAAATATTTTTTTAGTCGATTTAATCCAATAATATTATTTTTATATAATCATCTAGTAATAATATTGATAGGCTCATGAGTCACAAGCCTACATATTAGGCTCACGAGCCCAACAAAACCGGGCTCGATGGGCTCGCGAGCCCTAAAGGCTTGTGTGTAGCTTTAAGCATACCACAGTGCACCATATGACCTACATTCTAGGGGCAATTTAAGTTAAAGATTTAATAAAAAAATTTTATCTGGGCCCAGTTATTCTTCAATTATTTTAGCGGCCAAATTTTCCTACAGAAAATTAAATTTAAACTTGTGATTTCTGAAGATTAATTCTCTATACATTAGATATTTCATCACACAGCGTTACTTAACGTTACATAACGTAATGCAAAATATATTCATCGGATCGACGTCAAAAAAGAGTCATGTGAAAATAATAGTACCGCAAAAAAC